CCCATCATGCCCTGGTTGGGGGGCATCCCCATCATGCCCTGGTTGGGGGGCATCCCCATGCCCATGCCCATCCCAGGAGCCGCGTGCATCATTGGGTTTCCAGGAGGTCTGACTGCTGTAGGTCCCAGACTCATGGCTGACATTCCTTGAGAGAGAATGTTTGTCTGGTTACCTGTAAGTAGTGGAAGTAAATTAGTGAAGTCTTTTCCCTCCAAAAAAATCCAGCCAGAGACGCCTTCTGTAAACCTAACACCACAGCAGGTCTCACTTCTGTCTGTAAAATCAGGTCATGTGACGTGTGCCTTTACTCCATGGAATATTTTCCCTCAGAACGGAGTCGTCAGTTGAACCAACAGAACATGGTGAAAGTTGGTCTGTTCTGTATCTGATGATCATCAACAACATCAACTCACCTTGTTGTAATTTGTTGAGGCTGGGCTGGCTAGGCTTGGGGGGCTGCCCGCCCGGACCCAGAAAGTCCAGGTTGATGTTTACAGAATGGTCAGCCCAGGTGGACGGCAGAGAGGCTTTGGCTCCTGCACCATGCTTCACCACTCCCTGCTGCAGAGGCTGCAGAGGCTGGAGGGACTGGAGGGACTGGGGCTGCAGGGAAGCCCCCATGTTCTGGAAAGGCTGCTGGAGACACACACACACACACACACAAATATAATGAATACATCTGTTACCACTTCAACCTGCTGCAGTCTCAGTAAAACAGACATGGACAGGTGTGTGTCCTTATAAAAGCAGTCGTAGGTCGTCGACCTCTGAACGTGTGTGTTCTGTTCATCAACACAGACTTTTGTTGAAGTTCAAGTCTTTCTAAGTCAAACCTCTTTGGTCTTAGTCTGTGCTGTTTGAGGTTGGTGGACGGTCTCTCGGGGACACGGCCATCTGCTGAGGCTGCGTGTCACTGGTGTGGATGTCTCCATCATGATTATATCTGAGGAGCAGCTCTGACATCACTGAGGGAACCACAGCTGTTTGTGACGGAGTCTAGAGTCAGTCTGAAGATTCAGTCCATCCAACCATTGTTGTTGTTGTCGTTGTTGTTGTCGTTGTTCTAATACACCGTTGATATTTACACACACTTTTAGTTTCACTGAATCTTGTATCAGAACAAAAAATATTGTTGTCAAATTCAGATCTATCTGGATTAATAGTAACGAATCAAATAATCTTTAAACCATTAACCAATTCAGATCTATCTGGATTAATAGTAATGAATCAAATAACAATCTTTAAACCATTAACAAGGACAGGGAGTGTGTAGATATTTCTCTGTCTCTCTTTTCATCTGGATCATTTTTTCTTCTCTTCTGTGTCTTGTGATGATATGTACAGGGAAAGATAAATTATTGAAAAGGTATGTGTGTGTGTGTGTGTGTGTGTGTGTGTGTGTGTGTGTGTGTGGATGAGTGCAACCATGCATACCTGTGACCTAGACTGGGGCAGAACTGTGTTGCTCATGGTCTGTGTGCTGCTCATGCTGAAGTTGAGGCTCTGGGAGGAGGTGAGGGACTGAGTCGGAGCCATCAGGTCAAAGAGATCTGCTGAGGCAGGAGCAGCGGCCGCAGCCGGGACTGGAGCTGGTGCAGGCGCCGCGACAGGACTTGTTGTCATGGGGCCAAAAAGGTCGTTTTTGCTGAAGTCTGCAGCCTGAGCAGACACTGGCATCTGACCTCCAGGAAAGGCGTTCCACTCTCCAAAGTCTCCGTTACTGTTGGAGGGCTGTGTGGCTGCACCCACATAAACAGGAAGTCAAGTTAACGATTATCCACTAACGTTAGCATCGTGAGCTGAGCCGTGTTAACCACTGATAAATCACTAAGTCAACATCATTCATTCATATCCAGACCTGACGGTGGAGAATAAACAGCTGAGACTGGTTTAGACTTTTTCAGGGCATTCTCAGTGACCACTAATGTCAGATTTTAAATTTTAATTGAACCTTCCAAGCTTGTTTTGTCTCTTCCTCTCAGCATCTTCTACCTCCACCAACCTCTTCCTCCGTCCCTGTCTCCTTGTCATCTATAACAGGAGTTGATGTGTGTCTGTTCTTGTTATGCAGAGCAGGTAGCAGGCTCCATATGGCCTCCCTCCCTGCATCACTCTGAATATTCTAACAGTCTAGCTGCAGCAGTTCAACTCATACGTGCATACACACACACACAATCCCCCCCCCCTCCTAAAAAGTCTGAGCAGAACATACCAGATCCTGGGGACATGCCTACTGCAGCAGGTGAGGAGAAGTCAGCAAATCCACTGATCAAGTCTGTGTGAAGAAAAGAGACGCAAGACAATTACACACACAAGGTGTCATTCTGCCATACTTAGCATTCCCCTAGTGTCATAAGAGTGAGGGGGCCTGGGGGGGGGGTGGCAGTGAAAGGGTGGAGGAGGCCAAACATCTGTTCTGTGCTTCCACCCTCTCCATCCACCAGGGACTGCTCCAAAAACATCTGGTGCACTTAG